GGCCCCAGCCTGCTCAACAAGAGGAAAGCGTGCTGGGGCACCAAGGGAGGAACTTCCAGCCATGGGCACTGAGAATATCCCAGAGGGATGAGGCCCACCTTGCAGTGGGTGGGGAGGAGCCGCCAGAGCGGTGCAGTAGCAGGAAGAACCGCTCTGCCGAGACCAGCCCTGGGCGCTCAGAGTGCTGGACCTGCAGCGGAGGGCTGCCGTCCGGAGGGGGCTGGGGAAGGGACTGCAGGCCAAGACAAGAGCAGGGGTCCTGCAGTGTCCTGGGAGGGGGAGGGTGGACTGCTGTGGGGTTAGGTACCCCACCATGCTGTGAGCACTACTAGTCCCCAGCTCTGTGCCTGGCACTCTGCCCTCAAAGGTAAGAGATGAGGTGGTGCCATTGAGTTGCCCAGGGCCTGGTGGGGACAATCAGCCTAGGCCTACCTCCTTCCCTTGGAGGTTGAGTCTGAGAGAGCAGGCAGGTGTCCGGGGCAGCCTGGCCCTGGGACAGCCCTGTGCTGGGGCTGTGGAGCGTGATGTTCTTCTGGCTGAGGGGGACGTGGGGCGCTGGGCCCTGTGCCAGATGGTCCCCCTGGCTGCCACCATAAGGCATGGAGAGAGCTGGGGAATGAGGCTGAGAGGCAGTGTTCATCAACGTGGGAAGGACTGGCCAGCCCTCAGTACCCTGCCCTGGAACCCCGGCCACCCCAGGGCTCCAGCTGCCGGCACGTTCTTTGTCCCACCCCTGCCCACCTGGTACCTCTCTTGTGTTTGGTTGCAGACTCCTATTTAATGAGGCTTTTCCCCAGTTCCCAGGGAAGGCTGCTGGACAGAATGAGCCCTCTGTCCACCAGGCAGTGCCCCCCACCCCACCCCTGACACACATACATACCAGGCCAGAGACTGTAGGCCAAACTGGAGTCTGAGATTTCCTAGGCCTGGCTTGAACTGTGCTGCCACCTGTGGCTTAACCAGCCTTACGTGGGCTGTTGGGGGCAGGGTGTCGGCTCTAGCCTCCCCTCAGGCGGAGGGGGGCGGGGTGTCGGCTCTAGCCTCCCCTCAGGCGGGGAGGGCTCTCCTGGGCTTCCTGATCAAAGTTAACCCTCCCTAGGGAGGTGGTTTGCTGAGAAAGCTGCTATGGAGCCACTCTCTTACTGCCGTGGAACAGACACCGCCACCCCACCCTTCCCACCGCAGGGGTGGAGTGGGACTCGGGCACTGCTTTCTAGAGCTGACCTCAGCCTCTGTTCCTAAGACTTCCTAGGGTCAGAGCTGTCTACTCTGCCAGTCATTACATTATGGTCCTGAGTGCCAAAAAACCAGAGCCAAGGCTGGCTGATAGCTCCTTTCCCAAAGCAGGAGCTTAGACCGGAAAGCCTCTTGGTCTGGAGGGACGTGGGGAGGGTGTTCATTCCACCTGCCTCGTCAGAGCTGCAGACTTTTGCTGCCCATAGGTGTCCTTTCACCAGGGCCCCAGGTTCCGAGGGAGTGGCGGACCTGAGAGCTCCGTCTCCCTGCCTGCCACAAGGCCCAGTCAGGACTGATGCTGTCTGGCTACCGCTGTCCTGGGAACCTGTTGGGATACAAAGGCCCCAGGGGTCTCCAGGAAGCTTCCCACATTCACTGGCTCTTTGCTTCTGCTCCCAAAAATTCTAGGATAAACCAGGATTTTTACATCTGTGATCATTGAGGTAGATAGGCAGGGCTGATGTTCTCATCCCGTTTTGCAAGGGGCAAACTGGCCCAGGATCCTACAGTGCAAAGGCCGATGAAAAGGTCAGCCAGCCCAGGGCTACGCTTCCCAACCCTCCACACATCATGGCACACTTACAAGTATCAGTGGAGTAAGGAGAGGTGCGGCGGGAGGCTGGAGCAGCCAGGGCAGTCCGGGCATAGGAGGAGGAGAGAGAAAGGGGACAGGTTAGAGGGCACGCAGGGGCCTGGCCGCCGGGGCTCTGGGCCAGGCCACTGGGGGCTCCAGGCAGAGGAGCGGCGTGCTCTGCTTCACGCGGCTGCTGACGGAAGACTGGCTGAGGGACAGGAGGCTGCTGTGTGCCCACGTGAGAAGCAGCTGTGGCTTGGAGTGGGTTGGGGGCAGGGAGGAAAGAAGAAGTGGTTGGATTTTAGGTGTATCTTGAAAGTAGAGCCATTAGGATTTGCTGACAAGTTGGGGCTGGGATGTGAGAGCAGAGTCAAGGATGACCAAGGTGTTTGGTCTGAGCAAGTGGAAAGACGGGGTTGCCATTACCTGAGGGAGATGGGGAGCACTGTTTGGGGCAGAGTCACCAGGTCCGCTTCACATGTGTTGAGGTTGGGTAGCTGGTTTTAGACCTTTGTGCAGGGTGTTGAGTAGGCATTTGGATAGTGGGGTTCCTAGATCAGCGAGGTGGAGGGGGAAATGGGGAGAGACGTCACCAGATGAGGACATTGCAAACCACGAGCTGGGCTGAGGGCATCCTGGGAAGAAGGGTGAACGGAGAGCTGGGGGCCACTCTTGGGGCAGGAAGAGGATGGGGAGTAGGAAACAAGGCCAAGAAGGACGGCAGGTGAACTTGGAAGAAAGTCAGGCAAGTGTGGCCGTCTGGCAGCCAAGGAAAGAAATGATTCCGAGGAGGAGGAAGGACTTGTCCGGTGTGGCCAAGAGGTCAGGTAAAATGAAGACTGGTGACCATGAGTTCAGCAATGTGGAGGTGACTGGGGACTTTGACAAGAATCATCTGGTGACATGATGGGGCAAAAGACTGGGTAGGCAGAAGGGAAGAGGGCGGCAGATGGGGACAGCTCTGCTGAGGTTGGCAGTAAAGGGGAGCAAGACACAAGGTGGTGGCTGGTGGAGGATTCACAGATGGGAGGAGAAGCAGCCTGTTGGTATTCTGGTGGGGATGAGCCTGGGGTGGCTGAGTGCATGGCATGGTTCCTGGCGGGTGGCAACATACCCCCACAGCTGACTCAGCCCCTCCTTTCTCTCCTGCCGGCCACCTGCAGCCTGAGGATCCTACATTCTGCCTTCCATTCCCACACACATTCCGTCCTTGTCACAGCTGTACCTGGGGTCAGTGCTGGGGATAAAAGAAAGCCTGAGAGGCGCATTCCTACCCCACTTGTTCAGGGAAATCACAGCACCCAAGGCTGGAGAGGGCATGGCCTCAGCTTCACCCGCACCCTTCTGGATGCTGCCAGCAGGCTGCAGGCATGCCTGCCACCTCCAGGACAAAGCCCCTTTGGCATAACAAGACCAGAGTGGCCCTTGTGAGTCCCAGCGCCAGAGGGCTATGGAAGCCCTGGGAACAGCACTTCTCTGCGCCTGAGAATGAGGGCTTCCTACCTGCTGCTCGTTACTGGACACCTGAGTGATTGGGCTTTCGGGTGTTAACTGGCTTTAGCCTCACAACAGCCCCATGACCGTCTCCATTTGCCAAGGAAACAGGTGCTCAGATATTGCAGTAAATTCTTGAAGGCCACATGTTATAGCCAGCATCTGAACATGGGCGACCGACTTTCTTCAGACTCACAGTGGAGAGCCTCTTGGGCTGACAGAGGGCAGCTCACCTGTGCTGCCCCAGGTCAGAGGTGAGGCACTGAGCTCAGGAAGGACTGTGATGCCAAATCCACCCCAGCCACAAATAAGGAGCCACAGCCTTTGGGACAGCAACTCGTCTGCCTGCATATGGAAGGCAGGCCGTTGGCTCTGGTGCCTAAGGCCCCTGCTGGGTGGATGGGTGAGCAGGGGACTGACAGGTGGCAGAGGCAGCTTCCCGAAGCCTTGAGGGAAAGGATGCAGTTTACAGCCTGTCCTCAGGCTTCCTTGGAGGCAGGAACATGGGACCGAGGCAGCCATGGCTGTTGCTGGGAGGTGTGGGGGCCTGCTTCCCCTGGGAGCTTCCTGTCTTGACTGTGGAGGGCCCGTACCTGGCCTTCCCTTCAGCCTCACCCTGGACCCAGCCAGCACCAAAGGACCTGTGCCAGGCCTCACCATGAGCTACCCTACTCATCCCCAGATCCAGTGGTGAAGGGACCGGGAACCCTCCACTATGCGGGAGGAGGAGCTGAAGCCGAGCGGTGCTGCAGAGGCTGGCCGGATTTCCAGCGGGCAGTTTCATCACGGGGCGGGAGGGAGCCCAGGCACAAACGCCCATTACTCTCTTGCCCCAAAGATGCCCCATTTCTTGTCAGAAGTCATGCATTTGTGCTCCCAGCCAGCAGCATCCCCCAGCGGGGCACTTCTCCAAGTGGAAGCTGGGCCTCAGTGGCAGATGGCCCCCAGGCCCTGGCCTGTGCAGGTGCGCTGTGGATAAGCAGAGCCGCATGGCCCTAAGCAGCACCTCCCTGTGGCTGGGTCGCGTGGGAGCCCCCTTCCCAGCCTGAGTCATCTCATGACAAATCCATGTATCTAGTATGAAAAGTAAGAGTCCTGCGGTGCTGAGGAAACAGGAAGTGCGGGGGCTGGGCAGGTTGGCCCTGGTGGGAGCCTGGCCCCACCTCCCCCGAGCTATAGGGCTGAGGCAGGCCCTCCCTGTGTCAACAGATCCTGAGATGAGACCTAGGCCAGCCTTAGGACCCAGAGTCTGGGGGCTGGAGGAGGAGGAATAGGGAACTCCAGGCCATCTCTGGGGTGGGCCAAGTCCTCAGACCATGCCCTGATGTCTGGAGCCTGAGGCTGTGAACACCCCGAGACAAGCCATAGGGCCTCAGAGAAACTGGGGGATCTCTGAGACTGAGAGGCAGAAAAGTTTTCTGGACAGGGATAGCTGTGCCTCTTGGAATTCAGTGTGCAGAGACCTAGAGGCCATGTAGGAGGTGCAGCTGCTTGGGCCAAGTCTGGGGGTCTGTGGGCAGGAGGGCAGGGCCCCCGGACACAGGGTGGCTTGAGTGGTGCCGACCATCCCCACCTCCCGCTGACGGCTGGGCTGCCTGCACACAGCCAATGGGCTCTGCCTGGAGGAATGCCCCTGCCCCGAGGCTTCCTCCTCAGGCCCCCCTCCCCACATTCATGCACCCTCTTCGTGTTTCAGCACAACAAGGCCAACCAGCCTGCCCACAGTGTCCCGCAACTCTCTCCTCTCTATGAACATTTCAGCAGCCCACACCCCACACCTGTACCACCCGACATCAGCCAGAAGCAAGGTATGGACCTGGGATGGGGTGGGGCCCGTCGAGACGCACAGCCTGGGGGATGGGCCCCTGGCTCTTGAGATGAGGTGGCCGGGCTCTCCTTAGAGCTGGAGAAGGTGCAGCTGTACAAACTCGGGGCCTAGGGAAAATGCCAGAAAGATGGACTAGGGGGCCTGAGGGCACCAGAGGGCTGGGGGAGGTGGTGCCAGGTCAAAATTGGGAGGTTTCAGGTTGAGGTAGAAACCTAAATCCCAAGAACTCCCCAGTGCCAGGATGGAAGCAGGCATCTGTGAAGCCAGTAACTGTAAAACCCGTAGCCTTTCCCTCCCGCAGTGAGAAAATGGAAAGTGGTGGTTGTCATGGCTGATTCACCTCAGCCTCAGGCAGTCATTCTGAAATCAGCCCTTGTCGGCTGTGGGAAACCTGCTGACTCAACCCTGGTGGTGGTGGGGGCAGTGGAGCCCTGGCTCCCCAGGCCAGGTTCCCTCAGACCAGGGGGCCACCCTGGCCCCCACTCCTGAATGACTGTAACTCTGCCACTGGCCAGTGTCCCTAGGTAAGTCACCCAACCCCTCTGCCCTTGGTTCCCTAGTCTGTCAATGGACACAGTATCACACTGGGATAGTCCTGAACAAACTGGTACATCTGGTCCTCTAGAAAAGGGAGGTGGGATCTGAGAAGCCCCCGCAGGAGGCTCTAGGGCACAGGAACTAGTGGGAGTGGCCTCCAGTCAGGCTGGCTCACTAAACAGCCCCTTTCCACTGCAGTTCACAGACCGCTACAGAGCCCTGAACTCTCTGGCTTCTACTCTCTGACCTCAGGCAGCATGGGACAGCTCCCCCACACTGTGAGCTGGTGAGTGGGGCCCAGCGGGACACCCTGCACTGGATGGCCGATACCTGCCCTGACATTTTCCTCCTCCATCTTTCTGTGCTAAAGCATCCTTCTGCCACCTCTATGTAGGCACCTTGGGCTGGCCAGCAATTCTGTCCATTCTCCAGATAGCCTGACATACTCCCTTTGGGAAGGCAGACCTGGTTCCTGGTCCCAGGTCTATCACACTTGAACTCCTCCTCAATGTCTAAGAGACTTGAACCCTGGGAACCCTGGCCTACTCAGGCCCACAAGAGTATGTGAGGAAGAAAAGGGAGGCCTGGGCAGGGAGGAGGCATCATGAATGGCCACAAGAGGGACCTAGTGGGCAGGAGATACTTCCCCCCCCACCTCAGTGCCTACTGTTATTGGTCCCTTCCTTGGCTGAAATGCTTGAGGGGCAGGGTTCCTCCTTGTCTGTACCGTGTGCTTGGAGAGCCTACTAATGCTGGTCTAGGAAAAGCCAGCCTGACCCCAAGTCAGTAGGCCCACCATGGGCTAAAGGATTTGTCTTCAGCTGGAGGTGGGCCTTAGCAGGCTACCTGGCCCTTTGCTCACCAACTGAAGTGACCTGGGCAGTTCTGCAGCCTCTCTGGGCCGACGCAGTCAGCTACCCAGTAGCAGGAAAGCTTGGTTTCCCAGGAAGGCAGGGCAGGCCAGAGGTCCAACCTGGGGCCCACCTGTCCCTTTCCACTCGCCCTTTATCCATGTTCAACTCACTCTTCCCTTTCTAGAATCTTCTTGGACAGAAATCCACTACTCCCATGAGTAACCCCAGGATTGAAGTGGGCCAGACAGGGCTCTGGGCACCTGAGAAGCACTGCTGAAGTTGGTTGATCCTCAGGTCCCTGCCCTCTCAGAACTCAAGTCTACATAGTGCACGACCCACGCGAGGCCAGTTACAAGGCACTGCTAAGCAGTGCTTTGACCAGATACTGCAGGAACCCAGTAGTTCCTTGGGATCTCAAAGGCTTTCAGGAGAAAGGGTCATTTAGCTAAGCAAGACCTGAAGGACCATCATGAATTGAAGTAGGCTGAGTGGGGCAGAATGTCCCTGACAGTGTCAACAAGTGGGTGCAAAGGCCCTAGGGCAGGCTATCAACCCTGTTTTTGATAGGGAAATTTCAAGTGAGACTGGAGGGAACCTGAGGGCCTGCTAAGCTGGGTCCCAGGGGATTGCTGCTATTTCTATCCCTTAAGTCTATAGTTACACCAGTACAAGCCTATAGAAGCAAGTAGGTGCAACACAGGTTGCCCTCTGGTGGCAGATGCTTAAAACGTACCCTGGAATGGTCCAAGCAGAGGCCAGTTTACCTCACTACAGGCCAGGCCCAGCAAGATCAGGTAGTCTTTCCCAACATCTGGCCAGTAGCCAGACTAACAGCTGTCTCTCCCAACCACAGGCCCAGTCCTCCTCTCTACCCCCTGTCCCCTTCCTGCGGATATAGACAGCACTTCCCTGCCCCCACTGCAGCCCCTGGTGCCCCCTACCCCAGGTGAGTCCCCCACTCTGCAGCCAGGTTCCTGCTTCCTGTTGCCCAGGCTTCAGTGCCCACACAAGGCCATATCCAGGCTGGTGCTTGCCGGTGCTTGCCTTGTGCTAGTTGTTTGTCCATGTCTGTCTGTCATCCTGCAGCCCCCTGCCACCCTTGTGCCTCAGAATGAAGCCAGTTGGAGTGCAAAAGGCTTAGGCCATACTGTGCCGCAGAGCCGCTGGGGCCATGCATGCACACGTGCTGGTGCCCTGCCCCTGCACATGTGTGAGGTAGCCCCTGTGCAGGTGTGTGTGCGCTCATCTCAGATGTGCACCCCTGGTGAGGGAAGGGCAGGTCAGGACTCGCCTGGGCATTTCCTGAGCTCTGCCCAAGCTGAGGCAGCACTTTTCACATGCATCTCTAACCTCTGGCTCTTAGGGGCTGCCTCCTCAGGGACCCCACACCTATGCAAGTAGAAAGGAGCAGAATAGTGTGCATAGAACATCAAGAAAGTAATTTGAGTGTGTGTCCTTCACTCAGCTCACTCCCTCAGTAACACTACATCTGAGCCGGGTGTGGAACAAGGAATTCAGACATTTCCCGCCTACTGGAGCTCACAGCCCAGCAGGTGAATGGCTGTCTGGGAGATGCTTCCCTGGGAGACCCCAGCCAGTTCTGATGGGTCAGGGAGAGCATGAAAAGGTAACATCTTCTGAGTGAAGAGGACAAAGTAGCAGTGGGGATGGCTGGGGGTGAGAAGTGATGGGAAACGGGGAAAGATGAGGCTACAAATGGCAGGCAGGGATGGCCATGCAGGGCTCTGGGCTCTATTCTGTGGGCAGTAGTGGGGGCTGCAGCAGGAACAGCCAAGTGCACTGGGGTGTCCTTAAAAGGTCACTCTGGCTATTATGTGGAGAGGCCTGGAGGAGTCAAGCAGGAGAGTAAGGAAGCCCACAGGGCAGCCACAGGCTCCTAAGGCTGAGCTGGTGAGAGGGGGACAGATTCAAAAGCTATTTAGGATTTAGTAATCATTTGAATCATGTCTATGCAGATTTTTGCAATATGTCTGTGCAGTGTCTTGGGAGCAGGTTTTTGCATGTATTCGGTGTACTTATGTGCAAGCCAGTGGGTGGGGGAGTATCTGTTCACCTGTTATGTACTGTGCAGGGGCCTCCATGTGTCCAAAGGTCTGGCCCACACATATCTGGCTCAATATTAACTCTTCTCCCGCCTCTAGGTTCACGCACCCATCCCTGATGCTAGGCTCTGGCGTACCTGGCCACCCCGCAGCCATCCCCCACCCGGCCATTGTGCCCCCCTCAGGGAAGCAGGAGCTGCAGCCCTATGACCGCAGCCTGTGAGTGAAAGGGCACAAGATGGGAGGGAGGGCATAGGAAGGCGGACAGGTGAACAGAGTCAGGCTCCCATTTGTCCTTTAGCCAGGATATACATTTCTCTGCCTGGGCCCAGGCTCTAGGGACTGCCAGAGGCTGCCTCTGGTCAAGCTGTCTTGTGGGTTTTCCACTGACTACTGTTTCCTGATACTCAGGATCAGGAGAGAGTGGGCAATGCAGGGAACAAGGATCCAGTCTGAGCCGTAAAGGCAAGGACTGAGAAATCCTTACATGTTATCATACTTAGCTGCAACATTCCTGCAAGGAACAGTTATTTAGCTCTGCTCACCCACTTGGGGGCAGCTAAAAAAAGATTCCAATTACAAAACCTTAGTATCCATTCACACACACTGGACACACTAATTGGAGGAGGGCGATAGTATTAGAGGGACACTCTGGGGGCTCCCAAGTGATCTGAACATGACATGTGTCCCTCAGGAAGACACAGGGAGAAGCCAAGGCAGAGAAGGAAGCCAAGAAGCCAACTATCAAGAAGCCACTCAATGCTTTCATGTTGTACATGAAGGAGATGAGAGCCAAGGTCATTGCAGAGTGCACGCTCAAGGAGAGCGCCGCCATCAACCAGATCCTGGGCCGCAGGGTGAGGCCCCAGGCGGGTGGGCTGGCCAGGCGGGTGGGCTGGCCAGGCTGGCCCCTGACCACCTTCAGCCTGGTGCAGCCTGCTAACTCCCTGACGCACCCCATCTGCCCCCTTCCCCACTGCAGTGGCACGCGCTGTCTCGGGAAGAGCAGGCCAAGTATTATGAGCTGGCCCGAAAGGAGAGGCAGCTGCACATGCAGCTCTACCCAGGCTGGTCGGCACGGGACAACTATGTGAGTGGCCGATGACACATAGTAGGGGCGGGTAGGGGAGCCTACCAGATGCCTGCCCCAGGCTCCAGTCTCAGCAGGGAAGGAAGGCACAGATGAGGAGAGGTGGTTCAGTCCAATGCCTGCCATGGCTAGCTCAGGGGAGGGTTGAGCAAGGAGAGCTGCCCCAAAAGGCAGGCCCATGCCCTGTTTTCCCATCCAGGACACACTCCCATGCAGTGTTGCTGCCCAGTATTTTAGCAGGCCACTGGGACGGAAGGGGTGGAATAAGCCTGGATGTCACCTCCTCCATTCAAAATGGGGAACAGCATGGGAAAGGGAGGAGGAACTCCCTAACTACTGCCATGGTAACAGCAACAACTGCAGTCAGGAAACACCAGAGCCCCCGGGGAGGAGGAGACTATGTCAGCCAGGCTAGGCAGCAGGCTGGTGGTATCCCAGGCTCTTGCTCACTGGGCTTGTAACATCCACCTCCCAGATCTGAGCATCCCTCCCTTTGTTCCCTGCAGGGGAAGAAGAAGAGGCGGTCAAGGGAAAAGCATCAAGAATCCAACACAGGTGAGGCCTTCCCTCAGTAGTACTGGAGGCTCCTTTCTGGGCCTCCATTTCACGAACAGCCCTGCTCTGGCCCGGAAGGAGGGGCAGGGTCTTCAGCCATGAACCTTAGAGCCTAGGCCCTGGACCCTCTATAAACAAGGCCTGCATAGCACAAGTCAGGGAAGACCAGCAGAAACCAATTTTGTAATGGTGGTACGTTGACCCGCCCCTCTCACCTTTGCTAGCTGTGCTCTAGCCTCTGCCAGAGAAACTGGTGCTGAACTGAGTGCATGACTGGATGTTAAGCCCCAACACGGCATCCTGGTTAGTTCTGAGGCGGGCAGCAGGCTGGCCAGGCCCCATGCCTAGGCCCAGCTGTCAGCACAGCCTGCGGCTAGTGCCTAGCACTTTCTCTATTGCCTACTCCACACATTTTCATGGCCGTGCCGAGTGCTCAGTAGAGAGGATGCAAGGAAGTGAGGCCCTGCTGCAGGGCTCCAGGGGGTGAATTCCTGCTCCAACCCTGATTAATTCAGACTCCACATCCATGAATGACTGTCTTAGCTGTGCTGTTTCCTCACACAGGGAAGCTGGAAGCTAGGACTGGGGCAAGGCAGTCCTCAGCATCTTTTTCTGAGGTTGAATAATGGACTACTTTCTATCTGGAGAAGTGTATGAACTGTATAAAGTGGGACTCAGCTAAGCATGAAGGGTTTTGGGTCAGGCAGACTGGGCATTTGCAAGAAGAAAAACTGGTAAAATGGCCAGGGACCTGGGGAGGGGATAGGTAGCTAAGACAGAAAAGGCTAGATCCCCTTCAGGCCTTCCTGGGCTCTTCCCTCACAGCATCCATGTTACAAAGGGCCCCACAATCCCCAGAGAGGAGCCAGCCTGCTTGGGTCCCCTCCCTTCCCATCCCCTCCACCATTCTTCCCACTGCCTCTACTGCCCAGCTGGGTGCCCATCTTTCCTGATACCCTGGGCTCTTGGCCCTAGGGCTCCCACTGGGGCTGGCTATGCCATGGAGGGACCCTCTGCCTGTAAGGGCTGTGGGGTATCTGTGACTGGCTAACACTGATGTTACCTCTTCTTTCTGGGCCCTGCTCTGCCCTGCTGCCTGCCTGCTCGCCCTCTGCCCTGCTCTGCCCCTCTGGCATGGCTGTAAGCAGACCCTGGCTCGCCTAAGAAATGTCGTGCTCGCTTTGGCCTCAACCAGCAGACGGATTGGTGTGGTCCATGCAGGTGGGTTTGTCCCCACCACCACCCTCCCTTTGCTTCAAGCTGCTTCCCTGACTGCAAATGTTCTGCTGGGCCTGCAGCCCTCCTTTGCACCCGCATCCCCACCTCCTAGGATCCCGCAAATTGGGGAGCCCATACCTCCTAAGAATGGGAGTGAACACTGAATACAGCTTGTGGGGATGATCACTTGAGTCTAGATAGGAGGAGAGCAAGAGAGAAATGTTCTAGAAGACAGGCGGGCAGGCAGACTCAGGAAGTTCATTCTGGTGCCTAGGTTCCCCCAATGATGATGGTGCCTGGTTAGCACCAGACCTTGTAGGTCCTCAGCAAATCTTAGACAAATCTCAGGTGCACCAGTCAGTGGCCTAAACTCTGCTCCCAGGCCTGAGAGCTGCCATGGCCCACCAGCTCCCTCACTTCTTCAAGCTGGGATCCCTGCCTATACCATCCTGAGCACTTAAGTCTAAGAAATTAAGGTGACAATACTAGAGAACGACTTGGATAACCTGGATGCTAAGGGGCCATGTGACTTACTATCTTGTACCTGCTGAAACAAGAGGGCTGGTGGGGTAGAGAGAAGCAGGGTAACCCTGGGCTGCCCTAGGCAATGGGCCATACTCAGACCCTGTGGCATTAAACTGTGTTTCACCTTAAAACAGAGAAATACTTGTGTGTGTGAAAAGAAGGTATACCTACCAAGTGGCTAAAGTTAACCCCATTGAGATTTAGGCCAGCCTGGCAGGGCAAAGGCTGAAGCTACTCATGGCAGTGGTTCATTGACTCTAAGGAATACTTGTCCAGCCCCTTAAAGTGCCCACTGTGCATCCTTACCAAGAGCAAAGGAGAATTTGGTGGGGTACGGATGCAAGTGTATGCATACACAGTGAGGTGACCTTGTCCTCAGAGGAGGCCCTATTCCATGCTACTCAGAGATAAACTGTAGGCTAGAGAACTCCAAGATGTTAAGAATGGTGAGAAGAGTCACTGTCCATTTCTTTCCCTTCTCTGCCCTGAACCTAGGTCTGAGCATTAGCTTGCTCAGCCCAAGAAGCCACAAGCATTGCAGCCCCCTTGCTTAATGCAGATCTGAGCCCCACCATCACAGGTGAAGCAGAGACTCAGAGGCCAGACTAGGAGATGGCTCGCTTGCACTTGCAAAACACGCAGCCACTTATAGTCCTGTGGGTCCCTGTGCCACCTTGTGGCTGTGCTGGGAACTGCATCTGCTGCAGGTCTAGGTCAAGCTCGGGTCAGTGCTAGTTCTGAAAGCACAGACACATCACCCAAGTCCTGGGTAAAGGGGACTAGTCAAGCTACGCCTGTACAAGGACAGCATTTCTTGGTTGTGGTGTATGACTATGAATTCACCCTCTGTTTACAGATAACTCTCTTCACTATTCCTAGGAGGAAAAAGAAATGCATTCGGTACTTACCCGGAGAAGGCCGCTGCCCCAGCCCCGTTCCTTCCGATGACAGTGCTCTAGGCTGCCCCGGGTCCCCAGCCCCCCAGGACTCACCCTCATACCTCCTGCTGCCCCACTTCCCCACAGAACTGCTTGCTAGCCCCGCAGAGCCGGCGCCTACATCACCAGGTCTCTCGGCCGCTCTCAGCCTCCCAGCCCCCTGGGCCGCTACAGGCCCCCTCCAGTGCCCTGCAGAGTACACAGGTACGGCAACAGGAGTCTCAGAGACAGGAAGCCTAGCATGCACAGGGCACATCACCTCCTCCAGGGACCCATCCTCTGAGAGGCGGCGACAGAGCCCCAAAGCCCGTGGAAACTGGCCAGGGGCCCTTTTAACTCCCTCTCAGGGTCCAGGCCCCAGAGATTTCAGAGGCTGTACAACTTCTGCCTGAACCTGGGGCCATCGCTTTAAGCTGCTCTGAGTGGTGAGAATCAGACCTGTGTTACCTGATAAAGGGGATCTCTTGTGCCAATGGCGACCTGTACCTATTCTTTTACCATCTGTCTTGCTAGCCAGACACCCCTGCCTCCCTTGCTTTTCTGCTATAGGTTACAGACAAGCTGGACTGAGCCCAGCTGCTTTCCCTACCCTGTTCCCCCCACCTCCCCCCACCCTAAAAAAACCCAGACAGTTCATGGATCAAGAATGAACTGGTTTATCAAACAACATGGGAGCACCGTCACAACCACAAAGCTCAAGATGACAGTGCTTCTCTCTTAAGGGCCGGGAGAAGCCCTGTTTACAGAAGACCAGCTGCTATTAAGCTGGACCAGAGGAAACCTCTTGCCCTGTTCTCAGGAGCTTGCAAAAGGAGGGGGGAATGGAGTAGGTTAAGTTTAGGCCTATAACCCTAGGCAACAGCAATAACCTGACACTACCTTACCTTATCAGGGAAGTATGGGTGGTAGGGGGTATCTGGCTCTAGTTCAATCACTTGGAAATGTTACCTGAGGAACAACCGCCTAAGAAGTCCCAATACCAAGGCACCAGGCCTACCACTGGAAGCTGCAGGGAACAGCTGAAAGAAGTCATGACCCACAACTCTGCTGTGCACCCCTCCCATGCTGACAGCCTTGTTCACAGCTCCTTTCCAGCTTCTCTACAGCAGTCTACACAGTGCCTGGGCTGTTACAAGAGGGCAAACCAAACCACACAGCCAGTGCCTGTCTTCCAGCATGAAACCCGGCCAGCTTCAGTTTCCCTGTGGGGCTGCAGGAAGGAGGACCGTTACAGTCAAAGCAAGGAGCCCAGAAAACCTCTAGTGGTGGATAGTGGGTTTTCACCACAGCCTACTTTAAACCATTTCTGAGCCAAGCTTCAACCCTGAGCCTTAAAAAAAATTTTTTTAATTTAACTTTGTTGTCCTTTTTGCCTCCTCACTGTACATAGCCTGAATCCAAAGAAAAGGGGCTGTCCCTGTACCTACACACACCCAACAGAAGCCTTTAGTTCCTACTTTAGCCACTGGCTTCTAAGAACCCAAAGATCATATATCCTAGTGTGGCACTGCAAGAAGACTTGAGAGAAAAAAAGGACCGTTGTAGTTCTAAAAATATTTTTGTATTGTTAATGCATCATCATAGAAAAACTTTAACAGGAGAATAAAGATACTTTTTACTGGGTTTCTTTTTCTAAGCTTGACCCTGAAAAATAAGCTGTTTCAGTCACAGAAAGTGACACCCTTTCCTTTTCTTCCCCAGAGCCATGAGATTGGGGTTTCTCTGTTGTGGTACACATGTTCAGGGCTTTCAGCTCCCCTGAAGAGGCTTGAGCCCTGCCCCCACCCCGAAATCTGGGCTCATGCTAGGTATAAGCTATAAACTCCCATTCCACGCCTTGCTCTCAACCTCTTAATCCTCTGACCTCTCCCAACTGGTGCAGGAGCAGGCCAGCCTGCCCCCCAGTGCTCCCTAGAGAATGGGTTGGAAAACTGCCGCCCACACACCCTAAGACAATAGGTGGCACATGACCACCAGGTTCCATTAACCTATGAGAGCAGAGAGGAGAGAGAAAACACTCCATAAATACATACTCTATTTTGAGGAAAACAAGCAAAAAATCTTATAACCTGGTAACATAAAATCCAAAATAAGGGTATTTTAACAGCACTCTTGCTTCCCAAGGACTATGTTAAGTTGTGTGAAGTATCTTCATATTTTACACAAAAACCCTGAAGTCTGATAAATCTACAGTCTTTACACAGTTTCTATCATGTTAAAGTATACTGTTAATTTCCTGAGACCTACCATGAATGTAAAAGGTGTCATAAAGCCACCTCAGCAGGTCAACCACTAAATGTAAAATGTTGGGCAAGAAGTGTATCCCAACAGCCAGCCGTTCAGGCCATCACCTTGCATTGTAATTTCTTTCATCTGAGTTGTATTTTTTGGATTTTATATTTTAAAATATTTATAAATAAAGGCATCTTCCAGAGTAGTGTCCATTTTAAATAGGCCACTGGAAGTTGTAATCCTAGACTTGCTTTTTTCTGGAAGGGTGCTAGAAGAGTCCAACCATTCTCTTGGATATCTGTCTATTTAAGGAATTCCACTCTGGCTACTGGCCTACTTGTTTAAAAAAACTACATTTTAACCAATGCTTGTGCAAGACTGGATCACTGCATGTGATTTGGTGTCTTATTCAGAGCACACTGAGTACATGAACAATGCGCCTTTTGTGTAGGGGGCAGGGCACAGGGGGAGCTCTCTGGGAACTTTGTTAAAATCCAACCAGCCTTTAAAAAACTGACTTCAAAGAGGATTCTCAAATCCTCCGAGGTCACACCAGCACATTCCTATGAGACTACAAGGTGATATAGAGTACAACCCCAAATTTAACTTCAAATACCACACCTCAGTGCCAGCCAAGAACCAGCCCTGTTTTCTGAAATGTAAGACAAGGTAACCCAACCATCCTTAGACATTCCCAGACAACTGGTAGATTTGCTAGAAATACAGACCTTGACCCCTCCCCGACTGCAGCTGTCCCCCGGCCCTCCTGTGCTCAGGATGTGGTGAAGGCTCACCCAGCAAGCTGGCAGGGCCTTCCCGAGTCTCCCAACTGGAAGGCATTTCCCCCTTTTACAGGAAGCCCTGTGGCTACCTTCTTCTAGGCTGTAAGTATCTTCTGAACAGCCCAGAAGCACGGCTGCCCAGCTCTATTCAGTGTACAGTAAGCCTGAAGGAAGGCCACAGTGCAGGAAAGCAAAGTGGTTCTTTACATTGTTCGAAAGAAGGGATTGGTTCCTACGTACATTTCTAGAAAAACAAAACAGAAGGGCCAGGGGTAACACAGACTTAGCAAGCAGATTAAGAGGTAGTGGCTGTGAAACAGCACACCCAGCACAGAAAGGGCAGAAGTGAATTTGCACCATAGAGATGGGAAGTATTGAAAGTGAGAACACTTTTATGGACTAGGCTGACCCTCAGAGTTAAAGAAGAGACTGGTATATAGCAGGTTAGGTGCTTAGTAAAAAATTTCAAATTGAACAGTATCAGAAGTCATGAGAACTAGAGATGGGGAAGCAGATATATTCTACATTTGCTTTTGAGCAACTATATTCCTCCCACAAAATGCCTCTCAGGATTGGCACACAGACTAGATGTGGTCAACAGTGCAAAATACAATGCAGCAAGTATGTCATCCATGAGTTAACAAAACTACCCACGTCCCACACTGGAACTGCTACCGATGCTCATACCCACTGACAGCTCACCACGAAGGAGAGCATTCCGTCTGCCCTGCTGAGGTAGCCAAATGGCTCGATCTTGGGCCAAGGGACGTGTTCCTAATTCCTTCTTGGCTCACTCATCTTGATAAGACACACCCAGGTCTCTTATTCATCCTCTCTGCCTTTTGGAGGTAGTGATTTTTTACAAGCAAATGGCATCAAGTCTAGTTGCAAAAACCCTAACATTCAGAATACTTTAGTCTAATACTGTAAAACTGTTTAAGTTCAAAAACTCAAAAAACATACTGCCTGACATGGGTCTGATGAATACGCTACTAGTGTGTCACCCAAATCCTATCATCAACCAGCCCTAAAGTCTCCTTCCAGCCTATATTCTCCAGCAGACCAACCAACACCCAGCCTGCTGCTGCTAGTTCCTAAGTACTGCTTTCTTCCTCACCTTGGCATCTCTCCACCCCCAACCAAACCCAATTTGACTTTTGAAACAATGACTTCTCCTCATAGAACCTTTCCTAAATCCGTCCAGCCCTGTAGCCGCCATTTGCTCATTAATCTTGTTCTGTTCAGGAAAATCTTTGTTACTCATCTCCTCCCAATAGTATTTAGTATTTGTTTTGCCTCCTTAGCTATACCAAAACCTCCCATGAAAGCAACCACGCCCTCCACTTCCTACAAGCCAGGAGCTATAGTTCAGGGATTCATTCATTCAATATGCTTTCCCTTTACTTGCAATCTTCTCCCTTACTTTCTTCCTTCCTAGTGGGAGATCAATTTTCATACAAAATCCAGACAACTAAAGATTATCTTTCTTAAAGCTCAAGCAACTTTGTAGGGAGAACATTACATTTCATTCCTTCCACTTAAATGTATACTGAGCCTTAGAAAAAGAAAAATCAGAAAGATCTTTAAATGGAAGTGGTGGCAAGCAAAAGTTAAGCTTTGAAAGATGAGATTCTGATAGCTATGGGTAAAGTAAAGGGCACTTAGCTGGAGATCTGCTCTCTCAGTTCTTCCCTGGTGGAAATAACTTCCTATCCCTGTTCAACTGTCATAATAAGAGCCTAGACAACCTACCTAATTTCTTAATTTATCTTGGATCAGAATACTGATTATAGGATTAGCCAACCTTTAAGTAAATTAAGATATCATGTGGCTTGGAGTATCTGGTATCACATATGCACAGTGACTCGGTTTCTCTCCTCCTCCTCCTAGTTCCAGGTTAAACGCAGCATTGCCATGACAAGTTACAGGGCTGTAGTCCACCAAGTTACAAGAGATTTTGCTTAATTCCAGCAGCTGGTGTATTGAAACAGTTGTAAAATAAACAAATCACAGACACGCCACTCAGGGATCTATCTGTAACTTAAAAGCAATGCCTTTGTGAACCTTTGGAAAAATATAAAAATTGTAAAGCAATGCTTACCTTGTGTACTGAATGTAGATTTGTGAAGGCAAGCTGCGATATAGGTCATTAGGAATACATTCATTCAGTTCATCAAGTATGTGTCTCCCAGGTATATTTGGTCTTCATCCAGTTCCTAAAGACACTGCAGCCTTAAAGGTGAAATGGGTGTCTGGTCATGTTAATGAGACTTTTGGACCCCACCCAAGGGTAGGGGTTGGAGGCTAAAATCAGCCAATGGCCAACTGAGTCAATCATGACTAAGCAATGAAGCCTCCACAAAAACCCCTGAGAGCAGCTCATGGCTCTCTGGGACCCTGCTTCTCTGCAGGAGAGAGCTTCTATGCTTGGGGAACCAGAACTCTTCCATGTGCCACCAAGCCAGGCCCCAAGCTCCATGAGGACAGAAGCTCCTTTATTTGGGACCTTGTCCTATGCCTCTCTTCACCTGGCTGTTAACTTGTATCCCTTACAGTATCCTTTATTAAACAGGTAAATGTGTTTTCCTGAGTTCTGTGAGCCACTCTAGCAAATTAATAGAACCTAAGGGGGAGGTCATGGGAACCTCCAATCTGTAGCCAGTAGGCCAGAAGCACAGGTTAACTGCCTGGGGCTTGTGACCTGCATCTGGAGCTGGGGGTGAAGGGCAGTCTTGTAGGCCGGAGCCCTTAACCTTGGGAATCTGGTGCTGTCTCTGGGCAGACAGCATCAGAATTGAGTTCTCAGACACCCTACAGGTGTTCAAGAATTGTTTGGTATTGCGTGTGTGCAAAGACCCCCTCCCTGCCACACACACATTGAATCAGGTTTGGGAAGGAGCTACACTACTGTTACTGCTGCACAACACTATTATTGTATATAACAATAGTGTTGTGTATAAGTGAAAGGAAAAAGGAAACAATCACACGAGCTAATAAAATATAGCAGCACTTCAAGAAGTAACTTGCTTCTACAATGTAAGAATTACCAGAATCTGAGCAGGCATATCCTTGTTAATCCATGAGGGTGTTAGGGAGAAAGTAATAAGATAACATTCAGAAGGGGTTTGGTTTATGTTCAATCGCAAGTGACATGGACAGTCAATGAAAAGTTGAGAAACCAAAAGATTGTCACAGAGGGGTTTTCATCACAACAGCACCACAAAGGAGGCAGTTATTATTTCCAACTTACCCAAGGTCATGTAAGCACCAAGAGACAGAGATGAAGACTCCAGCCTCGCAGTATGACTTTATGCCACATTAGTTTAGTAATAGCTGGGAATTGATAAGGTAGGCAGGTTTGAGTTTTACAGAGCAATCTGGCTACTATGGATAATGGGAAAGGGCTACTCACTTTCCCTGGATAAGACAAGAGCCTGCACAACTATTGACAGATATATTAAAGAAAAAGCATAAAACAGAGAGAGAAAAGGGTAGGAAGAGCGCCACAGCCAACTTGAAGAGCCTCTTAACACCGTGCCTGTTATTTATCTGGGTACACAATGTCTACAAGTGGTGTATTTTTACTTGGATGAGCTGTCAGATTGCTATTGAACATGAGAGTTTAAGATTTATCAGGATTTTTTGTTTGTTGACGAGGGCCATAGTCTGCAGAAAGTCAGGAAAACAAAAAATGTACTTTATTATCTGTCCACTCAATCTTACTCATTCAAAGAGATCCCAGTGTCCTTTAGGTATGAGTAGTGATGTTACTTAGCCCTGTAATACTAACAGTTCTTGGGGGTTATACTGATTGAGAGCTGACAGTGATAGGCTCCTATTTCCTAGAAACTTTCATAACATATGGTAACAATCCTGGACTTTCAGTAAGATCTGTGTTTCTCATAGCATTGCTGGGGATATACTTGGAGTGGTTAAGCTTTTTGCAAGAGTTGACCATTACAGGAGGAATAAGCAGATGAGACACTCCCAGACAGGACTGAACTCTGCTGCCTTCCCCACTAAACTCAGGACAAATGGAAAACAAGCTTACTTCCCGAGATTAAAGGAAATAAAGGATCCAGCAGGAGTCACAGAGCTGGCAGACTTTTCCTGAAAAGTCCACAGAATAAACATTTTAGGCTTTTTGGTCAGATACAGTGTGTGTGTATCTTTCAACAATCCTTTAAAAATGTACAAACCATTTTTTAACTCACAGGTGCAAAATTAGGCTGTGGGCTGGGCTGGGTTTCACTAAAGCAAGGGCTATAGTTTGCTATCTGTTGTAGACAAATGGAATTCATGTGAGACAGCATATGAGACTTCATTAAGATATATATAGCACAAGGGTTGACATAAAGGCAAACTACTGTTAAATAATCTGAGCCAGCCTAGCTCACAATAAACAAATAATGAAGAGAACACAGTAAGACTATATGTGAATACAGATGATACTAACTGTTAAAGGGAGAAAAAAGAAGAGGTAAGTATTTTTAAATTTGTGAGCCATCTCAAACCTTCAAGAAAACTTCATTCTGCTATAGGGGAGAGTCAGAGAAAAATGGCTGTGAGGTTGTGTATGCCTGAGTACACCATTCAGGAACTGAGAACCGTATCAATGGCAATTAGAAGAGAGAAGAGTCTATCAAAACCCTATTGCTATGTCAGCAGCTTCCCATGAGCTAAGACACGAAACACCTGCAAGTATTTTCCAGCAAAACAACTGTACATAAATCTAACTCATTTAATATTAAGTGAAGAGACACATTTAAACACACAAAAGCAAACCACTTACTACCTACTATGTAATTTACTTTTTATTGAAAGTTATCTTGCATTCATGATGACTTCTGGGTTTTGCCACACATTTTAATGTTAAAGGTTTATTTTTTACATGCAAGTAGTGTGAACAGTTTTCCCTACATGAGATCAGATTATAAAAAGATGACATACCACATGGGTTGTGTCTTTTTTAACTGAAAAGCTAATAAACTGTCTAGTTTTATTTCCCCCAAGCCATAAACTGAGTAGTAGCTGAGTCTCTAGCCAACATATTCAAAGTTGAGGATTAAAAATGCAAAAACAAGTTCTCAGATTCACTAAAGGGAGCCCTGCTATGTAAGAACAGGCTACTGCTATCAGTGGTACTCCCTGACTCCAGGAAGCTGGAAGACATCCCAATAACCCCACTCAGAACATTTACTTCAGTAACCTTTTTCCAGTTTCCAACTCATGAATAAAGATAATACGTTGTTAATTCTACTTCAGAAAACTTTCCAAGTTGTTTTATTTACAATGCCAACTTTTAAAAGGTCATTAAACTAAAGTTAACTGGACAATAAACTAGGCAAAAATCACTTTACAAAAAGAAGGAAAGCCCAAAAAATGCTGCTTCCTATAGAGAACCCACAGTTCAGTTTTATTCAGAAAAAAAAAAGGAAAAAGAAAACCTTTTCATCATACCAGGAGAAACTCAGCCATGGGGCCATAGGTTTGGAGTCTGTGCTCAAACTACACATGCAGTGAGGACAACTTCTGCTAATACAACTGATTTCCTGCGCATTTGTCTACTGTTTGCCTAATATTAACAATTATAAACAGAGCAGTGCAACTAGTATCTGGAACAATCCTTACAGTGTTACAGTGTCAAGCATAACATTTCACTTCTCTTCACACCACTGGTTCTCTTTGCGCACCTAGAAGAGAAAGTTATGAGTACTATAAGTAGCCTTTCCTAAGACTACCACCCAGTGATTCATTGATTGCCTGTAAGATGGGGTCAGAAAGGGACAGATGGGAAACTGGAAAAACACCAGGTTCACAGTATGCTTCCTGGTTACAATTCTTGGCCTCCCAAGTTTTTATTCTGCCCTGCTGAGATCATCAAAAAAAAAAGGTAAGGGCAATGGGCAATTACAGCTTCAGTCACCAGAGCTGATAGAGCAAATTCAAATAGTTCATTCACATTACTTCAGTTTGTAGCTGTGTCAACAAAATCATTCTCATCTATTCATTAATTTCCTCCCCATTCACTAAGTCGCTTTGAAGGATGCTAGCACTACAACCATGCATAGGGCCTGGTTGTCTGCAATTAAGTTATTTATGGCTGACATGTAAGGTCCCAGATACCAAAACTAGTTCATTACTAAGGAATAAATATCAAAGAGCACCACTAGTTGAAAACTAATTGCTCTTATGCTTATAAAAGAGCAGTACCATCCAAATGGTTAGACTCACAGGCAGACTCTAAATCAAAATATTTTTAGGACATAGAAGTACCTATTATTCTCAAGTATGGTCAGGATTCTTTGATACAGTCACAACTCTGTTCCTGGCATGTTATGAGTTTTAGTCTCTTTTAAAAAGAATGCAATCAAGGACAAGCTGTGGGCTACCTACCTGGGCTTCCTCTTCTTCAGTGAAGTCATTTTTGATATTGAAGGTCTTGCGAATCTCCTCAGGAGTTTTCCCCTTGATCATGTTGGCAACAGTCTTGCACGTAACATCAAGCAGACCTTTGATGTCTAAGTAGTTTGCAGCCTATAAAGTGATTTATTATTACAGTGAACTTCATGTTCAAAAATAAATTGAAAGATAATGACTGAAATCCCTATCTAAGTTTAAAATGCTAGTTAATTTTAAGAAATTAAATGAAAAAACAAATCAAATTCTGTTGAAATATTTTTCTTGTCCCCTTCTTTGTCACACCTCTATAATACTGAGCTGCCTTAAGCAAACTACACTATCTCAAATGTTTAAGAATGCCCACTACTGGCAGAGGGGTATGCATGTGTGCAAGTGCCATATCAAATCTGTACTAAAATATTTAGCATTGTATTTTACTTATCTTCTGAAAGAATCAGCATTTAGTCTCTCTTGATTTTCTCTACTGTTTTTCTGTTTTCTATTTATTGATTTCTCCACTTCAACATTCCCTTTCTTTAGGTTTAACTTCATCTTTCATTAACTTTTTAAGGTCAAACCTTAGATCATAGATTTGAAACTTCTTTTCCAATGTAGGTGTTCAAGATTTATCAATTTCCCCTCTAAATACTACTTTAGCTGCATCTCACAGATTTTCATGTGTTGTGTTCTATTTCCATTCAGGTCAAAATACTTTTGTTGTTTTTTTTTTCTTTTTTGACTCATGGGTTAATAAGAAGTGTGCTATTTAGTTTTCAAATGCCTGCAGATTTTCCAGCTATTATTGATTTATGATTAATTCCATTGTGATCGGAAAACACACACCGTGTACATGAACTGAATCCTTTCAAGTTTGAGACTTGTTTTATGGCCCAGAATATGTCTTTCTTGGTAGTATATGCTTGAAAAGAATATGTATTTTGCTGTCATTAGATGTAATGATCTTTAAATGCCAATTAGGACAAAATGGTATATAGTGTTATTCAAGTCTTCGATAGCCTTACAGATTCTCTACTTGTTTTATCAATTATTTAGAGACATTTGTTGAAATCTCTGTGGATTTGTCTGTTTATCCTCTGAGTTCTATTTGTTTTTGTTTCACTTTTTAGAGGCTCAGCTTTTAGGTACAAATGTTTAGGATTATTTCCTCTTTTTAAAAAAAGTCTTTTTATTGAAGTATAGTTGATATACAATATTCTATTGGTTTCAAATGTACAACATAGTAATTCAACAGCTATTTACATAATTAAATGCTCACAGCCCAGGAAGTGTAGTTACTGTCAACAAAGATAGTACAATATTGTTGACTATCATTATTTCCTTTTAACAATGAACTGATCCTTTTATCACTAGGCAATGACCCTCTTTGTTAATCTTTGCTCTGAAATTTACTTTAATTAAGTCACTCTAGTTTTTCAATTGTAAGCACAATGTATCTTTTTCTACCCTTTAAACCTCTACTGTCTTTGTATTTAAATTCAGTTTTCATACACAGAATAGCTGAGTCTTATATTTTTTCTATCCAATGTGACAATCTCCACCCTTTGTGTTTAGACCATTTACATTCAATGTGATTATTGGTACATGGATTTACATATAGCATTGCATTTGAGTTCAGGGTGTTAAAATTCAGTATCAGTGAATTTAACAAATTTAACTCTGTAAAAAGTACTAAAGGCTCTGGACTAGAGAAATCTTATATACATTAAAAACATACCAGAATAAGTTCAAAAAGTGTTCCTTGGTCAACTTTCAGGAATTCTTGGTCCCAAACAGGGATATCATCTGTTCGCTTTTCTTTGTTCTCATCATCCTCAGGGGGAGGAGGGTCATCCTTGTGATGGGTGCACCACTGAATGACCTACAAGAACAAAAGTTCATTCCTCTGTGGCATTTTATCACAACGTCCTCATTCCACTGCTGGGGCAGTTATTCCTACAATTGGCTAAGAAACATCTACTAGTTGACTTGAATAACAAAGTTAATAGCCAAACGTAAAAAGCAAAAATGAAGCTTGAGGAATCTTCACAAGGATTCACAACAGGGTAGAAGATCTTAGATAATAGTGAACCATCAGACAGATTACTATACTTGACCATATTAAAAAGCTTCTGTACAAAAAGACAGGACAATGACTAGGAAAAAAAATGCAACATGTACAACTGACAATGAATTACCCTATAGAATATAAAATCTTAAAGATCACTACAAAGAAATGAGCTAAAGATATGAATAGGCTACTCACAAAAGAAATCTGGAGAACTGCTAAGCCTCATTAGATGCAAAATTAATGCTACAGTCATATACTACTTTAGATTGCAAAAAAAAATCATTTTGATGCAGATCATTGGCAATAATGTGAGGACAACATGAACTCTTTTACTGGTGTGTAAATTGGTGTAACCCCTTTGAAAAATAATCTAGCACTATCTAGTGAAGCTGAATACGTACATACATTATCACCAAGCAATTCTAAATAACCCAGACATGTTCATGAGACTATTTGGTTATAAGAACAAAGAAGGAAAAGCCTAAATGTTTCCTCAGTAGGGGAATGAACACATTACAAAGTTTGAGGAAGTTGATTAGCTAGACTATGTACCGAAGACCAAAATCAACACTAACAGTGCTAAGTTGTAGAATCTAGGCTGTCAGTCAATGTGTGTTTGCTGTGTAGTTCAATTTCAAGAAATTAGTGATTGTTACTTATGGGGTTTCTGGTCAGATGAGAGATAGGATGGAAGATTTTACTGTATACCTTTACCATTAATCAGTTGAAGAAAACTTACAAGCAGCCCGTATACCCCAGCCCATTAACTCTGACCTTCTCTGCTCCTTCCTTGTTCACTGTGCTGTAGACACCACACACAAGTTTTATCCCCAACTTTCCTCAAAAGGTAGGGCATGTTTTTTGTCTTAAGGTCACTGCACGGGATTCTCTTCCTTCACATATTCTCCTCTGTTCAAAGATCATCTTCTCCGTAAGGCATTTCCTGACCATCTTTATTTTAAAAGTAGTTAACTATCCACCTACCAACCCACTTGTACTCTATAGTTTTTCCATTTGATGTATTTCTTATATGGTATGTTTCCCCCACATCTTTAGACTGTAAATAGCAGAGACTGCTGTTTACTGCTGCACCTTCAGCACCTAAAAAATGCCAAGTCTTTGAATGAATGCAAGTGAAAGTCCTTTTAGAAGCATTTACATACTATATAATAGAATGTTAATTGTAAGACAAAACCCAGAAGCCAGAAAAGAGTTCTAACTAGATAAAATATAAAGCTTCTAAACCATAAAATAGTATGAACTGACATTAGACAAGTGGCAGAAACTCTAAAGAATTCCTATAAAAAGCCCATTAGACTATAAAACGGATGAACCTTGAAAACATTATGCTAAGAGAAATAAGCCAGACACAAAAAGGATAAATACTGTATGATGCCATTTATATGATGCCATATATATGCACATAGAGTCAAATTCATTAAGAGAGAAAACAAAATGGGCTACAAGGGGCTAGAGGGAAGGGAGAATGGGATAAATTAAACCCATTATTGTTTAATGGGTACAGAGTTTTCAGTTTGGGATGACAAAAGTTCTAGAGAGAGTGGGGATGGTTGCACAATGTAAATGTACTAAATGCCACTGAACTGTACAATTTAAAAAGTTAAAATGGTAAATTTTGTTGTATTTTATGACAATTTTTTTTTTAAAGCAAAAGACAATGCAGAAAATATAAATAGTCAGTAACAGACATGCAAAAAATGTTCGGGCTTAGAGAATCACTTTTTGACCCAGTCTGGGGCAATTAAAAAGACTACTAATAGCAGATCATGGTAAGAGTATAGAAAAATATGCAGTGTAGTAGCATCTCATGCCAGGGTCAAGAGAAAGCATAAGATGAAATCATATCTGGTCAATGACCTCTGAAAATCCTCTAGGTAGGGGCCAACTGGATCTGACCATTCCCATCTCTAGGACTAACCAGCTTTCCCCTCAATGTGGAAATTGGCTGCTGTCTCTTCAGATGAATACCTGGCTCTGTTAAGGAGCTGTGCCCTGAAACACTAAAATCCTACTCAATATGGAGAGCCATTTATGCTCAGATACAAGGTAAAGTGATTAACTAAAAACAAAACAAGCACACCTCTTATTCTCAAGCTCCCTTTGGGGCACACCCCAAATTCTATGCACAAACAATACAAAAAATTTTCCCTTCTGCTAAGAATATACTATTATATTTCAGTAATTTAAATGTTAATGGAAAAAGACTAGACAATTCAAATAGTCACACAGCCAGGTTAAATCAACCACAACAAATATTTAGAGTCATAATCATACTATGTTGTGTTGTGTTGTAAAGGAAGCTGTCTTCAATATAGAAAGATCACCAGAATATTGTTAAATAAAAAAAAAGATAGGTGCATACACAAGTGTATACTTTATTTACTACCTTACCTTTTTTAATATTGCTGCATTAACATTTGGTAGAGGAACTGGGTCATCATCTCCTTCATCATCCATTCCCAAATCTAAGAAAACCAGAAGAGAGTTGCCATTATTTCCTAACACCACTGCAACATTTACACCAACCAGGTTGTGACTCAAACAAATAACTTGCAAGACACTGTCTAAGCCTGTAAGGAGTACTTTATTAAGAATAGTTCTCTTAAGAGGATTTAAAATTGGTAGTAACTAAAAGGTCTGTGAACCACCCAAAACTATATAAAATGTGTGAGTAGACAAATACAGAAATATTATATAAAGAGAGTTCTCAATTAGGAAAGAATGTGATTTAGTAAGTGGGAATGAGACAATTGGACAGCCATTTGGAAAAAAATTAAAGCCAGATCCTTATCCTTAGTCTTTATACCAAACTGTACAACATGCACTGCGCATTTAGAAAAATAAAATGTAAAGTACTATAAATAACAGAATCTCAATCTATTAAAATCTGAAGCCCAAACATGTACATATACACACGAAACAGATCATGCAGCCACTGACAAAAATAAGGCAGGCAGCTCCATATATACTGGTATGTTTTTCAAGTTTTTAAAAGCCAGGTATAAAAAGATAAAACAATCTGAATAAATGAAAATGTAAGTATATATGCATATTAAAATATCTCCAAAAGGACACATAAGGAATTGACAACAATATTATGTCTAGGGAAGTTAACAAGAACATGGGTTAAGGGACTTAGTTTCAGTACATACCCTTTAGTGTTATTCATCACATACATATTACCTATAATTTTGAATCTATAGGTTTCTCTGGTAAAAAAAGGCCTAACTTTCAGTTTCTCAAAGTGGTTGGTGAACTCCAAAGAAAAAACTTATAAAATCCTTATGTTCCTTAAAGATTCTAAATAAGAATATTTTTTCAAATCACATGGGTCTGTCCTTCAGTAAAGAGCTACCAAAGAAAGCTACTTAAAGGGCAGTAAGTACCAAGACTGGGGGTCAAAAGTTACTACAGCACTATATTGGTTGTAGCAGTTACCAGTTATGCTAACATGGTCAGCAATGAACACAGGAGGATGAGAGGAATTGTTGCAATTTTAGATAAGAGTGGCTCAGGATGCCTCACTGAGATGACATTTTAAGAAAATCCTAAAGGAAAGAACACCTAAGCAGAGGAAATAGCAAATGCAAAGGCCTTCTGAAAGAAGTATCAGAAACACTATGGATTCTATAGTGTCACTAGAGCAGAGTGAGCAAGGGTAAAAAGAACAGTCAAGAGCAGTAACAGAGCCTGGTAGTAATAGGGGTTTGTGCATTTTGGCCACTGTATAGGGAAGAGACAGCAGAGAGCTGGGGGGAAAGAGGGAAACCAATTACGGGACTGGCAATCATCCAGTTACAAAATGGTGGCTTGTACAGGTTTATAGCTATGAAAGAACTGGTCCAATTCTGTTACGCCTTTCGAAGATGGAGGCAATAGGATTTGCCAAAAGATGGGAGTAGAATGTGAAGAGTGAAGGAACACTAACGTTTAGGACACGGGGAGCTACATGGATAGAGCTGCCACTGGAGTTGCCATTAATTGACACGAGGAAGGGGACTTAACTTGGAAGGCAGGGAATCAAGAATTCTTAGTTCATAAGTTTGAGATACCTACTATATATGCAAGGATAGACCAAGAGGTTAAATATCTAAGTCTAAAAATCGAAAGAAGAGATCAGAACTCTAAGTTTGGGAATTGGTATATAGATGGTTTCTAACACTATTAGGAATAGATGAGATGACCAGGGGAACAAGAGTGTAGACAGAGAGAAGAGGTCCACTAATTAAGGCAAGCTCTGAGGAACTACAGGCTTTAAAGACGGGGAGACAGAAGGCTGTGAGTGAAGTATTAATAGCAGGTATCCTGGTAGCCAAATGTAGAACAGAATGGTTAACTGTCAAATGCTGTCAATAGGTCTAGAAAAAATAAATAGATGATGCACTTGATAACATGGAAGTCACTGAGATTAACAAGCAATTCCAGTGGAATGGGAAAGTTAAGAGTAGATTCAAAAAGTATATGGATGGATTCTCCTATATATTTTCCGTGTGGATGAACTCACTCACTTGCCCTCTCCTCATTTCCACCAATGCCTTTCCCTGATCCCATTGCAGCCTAGAGTAACACTATGAAATGACACTATCTCAATTTGGACGAAGCCACTTATGCTTTTCCTGAACTAGTGTGAAATATTTTTAATCAGAGAGGAAGGTACACTATGTAAAACACCTGTGTTTTGGGGAATTAGGATATTAAAGGAAGCAATACAGAAGACCAGCTTGTTTAGATCCTATTAGTATTTGGAAGAATACTAAAGTCACCTTAAAACTAAGGTCCTTCTGGTTGTAAAGGATCACTTCTCTAGCATTTAAACTAAGGATTTGCAATATTTTTTGCTTTTAGACTGAATGCACAACTAGCAACACTTTAAGCTATTTAGTTTCAAGGACTTCTGAAAGACACCTGTATCCTGACACCACACCATGGACCTGAAAAAAAAAATCAGTCAATCCATATATATGCCAAGATTTTCACTTCTGATTGTCCTGTGATTACAAGGTTTCATTTTTGTTTTCTAAGTCATAAAAAAACCCATAACCAGAGATTCTCAGATGGAAAATAAGGAAAGCAGTAAGTTGCTGAACTCTAAATAGACTCCAGTCCTCAAAAGGCTAGAATTTTATACAAACTATTGGTACTTAAGATAAAGCCATTCACCTTTGATGCCCAAAGGCAATGGAAGGAAATAAATCACAAAACTGTTGCCATCTATCAGTCTACTTGCTTCACTGATCAAAGCTGGCATGGAAAACCTTCAAGAAGCCCTGTATTCTTACACTGGCAAATGCTTCTCTGAAGCAGCACAGGACAGATTAGTGTGCCAGGCACCAACTAAGAAGAAATAAAGAACACTTTCATTGCCAAAGCAAGTATTCAGGCATCAATTTTGGTATCAGTTTCTACATCTTCTAGATAAAGCCTTACTCACCTGCCTGTAGGGACACATGGATTGCTTTCACACTCTATTAGTGACCATACATAGTTCTTCATTCAACACGTACTTGATGAACAGTGACTGTGGGATGTACCAAGGGGTTTACAACTTAATAGAAATGATCTGTGTATGTAAGTTACCAGGGAACAGGAAGGACTGAAAGCGACACGTGATTGGTATCAATTACCAAAAAGAATTACATGTTCAGCTTTTATCAGCAAACAGAAGCCACCTGCTTAGAAAACAGAAGACACATGCTCCACAATTCAGCTTCTGTCTCTGACACCTATTATCTTTTGGAAGTTGTCTTAACTTACAAACTGTGAAATCCTCAATGACTAGTCTGCAGTGTAAGAATCTGAGGATCACTCTGGTCACCTCAAAATGCCTTCCTCAAATCCTCTGCTAATCCTCCTCCTCCAACTTCTACACTCTTAACACTGCCCTTCCCGCCCCAATATGGCTGCCTACCAACCTCACTTACTCCTATACTCCCATAACTCATCGGATGAAGTAAGTCTATTTACCTCCAGCAGTCTACAACTCAGTGACCAAGGTCCACATACTCAATTGCTTAGTAGACTGTTACAAAGATGTTCTGAAGCAATCTCAAACATACATACTATGTTCAAGCTCAAAGTCATTTTCTCTCCATTCCTCTGAAACCCATTCTTCAGCTCTACCAACTACAGTATCACTATCTCATCCCGCCCCATAGACCCCCACTAAAAATTTCAATTTTACTTTTCTCCAACATATCCCATCTACTTTACCTCAGAATCATCTCCCAAAACATCCTAATTTTACTACATGTGAAATATCACCTCACTGCAGTAATACACACTGCAATTTCTCCACAAGCATGAAGAGTAACATCAGCCAAGATATTCCCATAGCACCACCTGGCACACAATTTTATTAATGAATTAGTTATACCATGTGACAGTTTGTCTTGTTTGGTGTCTGTCTTCCTTCCTAGTTTATAAATTCTTTAAGGGCAAAGACCATTTCGTACTTAGCTTCTTTTCACCAGCATATAGCTAGTGCTTGGCGTGTAACTCTTCTCTTTGCTTAAGTGTGTATAAGCTACAGATCTTCCCTACATAAAAACCTTTGTTATCTGACTACTGAAGAACATTCTTATTACTACTAAGTTTTTATTTTTTTACCAATTCTTGAAACTGCCTTGTATGTCTCCATTTATTAATGTCCAGCAACCCACTGGTAATACTGAGATCCACATTAACTAGTAAAAGTTTCAAAATTTGTCAGGACTGGTTTTCTTGCCTTACTTTTTTGATGTGCTACATATAATGATCTGCAGTAGTTTCAGAGGAATAACAAAATAGACAAAAGGGAAAAGCTGGTTAAAGAAAAAAATCTCAGTTTACAATCTACTCAGCTTACTCCCTTCTGCTGCAATAAGGTGCTCTATTTACCTACCACATAGAAAGGTATCTCTTTTCCACAGGCTTTTATTTTTTGCCACTAGATATTGTGAATCCAAGTATACTCAAAACAGAAATGGGCCATTGACTGAGGCTCAGAAATCATTTCAGTATGAGCTTATTGTCTTATCTATTTAATAAGGCAAAAACCTCATTAATTGAGACAGTGCAGAAAGGATGACCTGTATAAGAAAAATGTAGTTAGAACTTTAAACTCTACCCCCTGCCTTCATACTCTTGAGCATTTTATGACAGATTGTTACTTATATGAATCCAGTGTTAAAAGGTTATCTCAAATTACGTATTTCTTCCCCTTTCCCCAAACCCATGTTTTCTAATAAAACTTACCTTCCAACATGGTCTTGATAGTCACAGACTGTTTGGCAATTTCAACGTCAACTTCAAATATCTCTCCATCAGAACTCTGCAACTTAATTGAAGGCATCTGAAAAAAAAGGTATTATCCTGAATTTGAAGTTTAAGAGAGATTAGTTTTATATGACATTTCAACAACTACAGTCTGTTAGAAGTCCTCTAACTTATTCACTATAAAATTTTAAAGACTTATAATGCAAAACCCTGGAAAACACTGTAAGTGGTTGTCACAGGCTAGCATACAAGTGTTTCCACCAAATTTTTTCAAAGTGTAACTCCTAGGAACAGCAGCTTTTAAGGCCTGCCCTACTGAACTCATTACTGGGATTAATTTTAGGGTTGAATTCTGTACTTTTGATGTGCAAAATGTATCTAAAATTGACTTACTACTCTTTGCCTGCCTTTCTGCTCTCAGTGAATACTAACTACTCCATTTGAATAAACTGCCACAATTAACCACCTGCAAACCTGAGGGAGTTCAGTAAAAATAAACTACCAAATAAGAGTAATTTTCACATAGCGTGATTTACAGTGAAAAATCCAAAGAGGAGATCAGGATATACTTATGTTTCACAAATGTAAGACCATACACAAGAGAATAAAAGATATAAAGATAAGCAGATGTCGATATAACTCCCTAAACCAAAAAATAAGGACTCTGAAATTTAAGTTCCTCGTCTTCCTTTACTATCCAGTTGTCCACGTTTGAGATCTGCCAAAATCCTATTACTTTCTGCAAAAATGTATTAACTCAGATCAATTATGAGTCAAGAAAAAGATGCCTCTTACATAAAAGTTAATTAAGCAATTAAACTCAAAGACTTGAGTTGTGGCGGAAAACAAACGAACAAACAAAAACCCGTTTAAAATTAAAATTTCTAAGCCAGCCAATTTCTTCCCATCTTCAGATTCTTGGGAAAAAGGGTGCAAGAGAGGGGATAAATGCAGCAATACTACCTAACTGTAAAGATTAATTCGAGACCTCTTCAAATTTCAAGCATATATATATATATATTTTAAAGGCCCATGCTTCTGAGGTATTCATAATCCTGCGATGCCAATGTTCATTTGCAAGTGTAGAATTTGGCATTTGAAACATTCAATGCACCTATTTTAGGTTCTAAGACTTAAGACCCATTAAATCAGTTAAAATACTCATTCAGCTTTTCCCAGACAATTGTCTCCATCCCCCAAACAGAGCTGTTAGAGAACAGAAAAATTAAAGCTATGTTTTAAAACCAGACATTGAACTATCCTGCTGTCACTCATCCATCATTGGGATCAAATTTCACTTTTCAGTTCAAATATGTCTGCTTCTCCATGTTGCTTAGTACTTGCCAATAATGCAGTTGTCCTGTTCAATGGAGAAAGGCCCAGAGCAGAGGCCCTTCGCTATGACAAGGAACTAAAAGTTCATATCCCCAAAAGAAATATTTTAAGGTGAGCCCAGTTTTTAATTACAGAATAATAAATGTCTTTGTATGTTCCCTAGCACTGAAATTAACATTACAGAATCACAGGTGTGGCAATGCAGCTGATAAGATTACTTTTAAGCAAGACGACCATTTCATTTCTTTCAAGTAACTCTGGATAAATAGCAAGATCTGCCTAGTCACAGTCAACTTCATGTATTAGGTTACTCTTAAGGGATCTTGTTAAGTAACAGAGAGGCTAATCGGTTACTCTGTAATTCGATGCACTTTGTAATTGTAAACAATACTCAAAGAGAACTCTTTTATTCATGTTATAGAGCTGGAATTCAGAGCAAAGTTTACAGATAATAATGGATGAAATTTTGATTTGACATACTTTAAAGGCCAATTCTTCAATTCCTTAGGCTCTGGTACTTGGAAATTAAATCACCCTCCATGCCTGGCATGAAGTGGGTTCCAACATCAGAAAGAAAAATCTGTGTTTCGAAGTGAGCCGAAAAAATCTAACACTTCTTTTAGAAGGCAGAGTGGAGAAGTCTGCGTTGCTCTGTGACACAGAGACATTCTATTGTGACGCTTTGATGAAAATGTCATGACCCCAAACCCCAGGCCTTAAGTCTCCATTAAAAAGTGAACCAAGCAAGTCAACGTCCTATCCCTGTAAAACTTAACTCGATGTGTCTGGCTTTTAAAGTTAGAGCTCTTAAAAGTCACACCATAATGACGACGGGATCTGGAATCTGCTATTACAACCGTTGTTTCGGCAACTCCAGGCTGTGCCAAAATAATGAATAAATAAATATTCAGAAGGAGCGAGCGGCTATCTGCAAAGATTCAGCCCCAGCAGTTAGCGGGGGCCGGTGACTAGTGACGCCAGACACCAGGAGAACGGAAGGGACCCAAGAACTCAGCGCTCCCAGACTACCGCCGCCACGCTCCCTTTGGACAGCAAAACAACAAACAAGGACACACGCTCACGACAGCGTGATCTCCATTAAAGGGACCCCCATTAAAAGCCCCACCGCCACCCATGCCCTGGGTCTCCAGTACCGACAGGCTCAACGCCAAGGGAGGCCCCGGGCCGCTACCTGACCCTTGCAGCTGAGCTTCGCGCCGGCTGACGCCTGCCGGGTGCAGAGAAGGCCCAATCCCGGGCCTAGCTCACACCGTGAGCCGCCCGGCGACGCCCACCCGGCGTCGGGAGGACTCGCGGCCAGAAGAGGCCGAGGCGAGCCGAGGGGAGGGGTGGGAGAATGGGGTCCGCCAGAACCTCCGAGTCAACGGGGCCCACAACGGGTCCACCGGGCCTGAGGGGAGGCCAGGCCCAGCTGACTCCCGCCTCCGGCAGGCCAAAGCCGCAGCGGTGCGGCCACCAAGCTTGCTATCAGCAGCACCACCGCCCCTTCCAGCTCGGTCGGCCGCTACTCACGGTGTTCTGTCTCAAGGAAACGACGGGCCAGAGGCTGACCAGAGCTGGGCAGCGTCTGCTAAACCAAGATGAAGGCAGAGGACAAGGCCACCACAGCGGCGCGGCGCGGCGCGGCGTCAGCCTTTATAGGAGAGGACGCAGTCGGTGAGGACCCCGAGGCCTAGTGACGTCACGGAGCCGGCCGGCCTGGCCGCCGAGATCGCCTGACGGCAGGCGGAGGACGACAGCGAGGCGGGTCCAGGGCGCCGGCAGGGCGGTGCAGGGCAGAGCGGGCCGGGGCGGGGATGATTTTTAACCCCACCCTCCACAGCTTGGCTCGCTCTCCTCAAAGCGGGAACGGGGACTGCACGGGGAACTCTGCAGCCTGCAAGGGTCCTTCAGGCAGGGGCTGTCCTAAGCCGTAGTAAAGACCCCAGTTCTTGAAAACCCTCGAAGTTACCAGTGCGTGTATGTGTGTATTTCATGACGGCAAAACGGGGGTCTCAGAGAAAGAATGGCCGATGGACTTTGCAGTCTTAATGTGTGAGGGAACAGGTTGCGAACGGTTTAGTGGCGGGGTAAGGATTTGAACCTTACTCCACAGTTTGGCGCTCTTAACTCTTTGTTGTTGATTTGTGAAGAGGCCTCCAAACCAAAAATAACGATTGTGGCAGGGAAGTCTAGAGAGGAGGCCTTCTGGCAGTGAATATCCACTCATTGAGCAAATTTATTTTCAGCCCCTTTGTGTCAGGCACAGAACTGGGGATTCAGCAGTGAGCCCGTCAGCCACGGTCCGTCCTGTGTGGGATGCTCCCTGAAGGCCATCGGATGAAGCTAACTCTATAGAGGAAAGGGGTTAGTCTGCAAATCCATCCCCCCTCCAGTCGAGGACTTTGCCCGGCTTTACCCTGCTGTGCTTGGGGAACATTGCCGCCATCCCTAGGAGACTTAAGGCGCCTGGCTCACCTAACCAACAGGCACGTGATGGTATTCCTGACGCCAGGGAGACAAAAAACACTTCCACAGAGGGCCTCCTAAAGAAATTAGAGGCCTTCAGCTCTTTGGGATGGGACTGGCAGGGAGGGCAAGCAGTGACTTCGGTTACCTGGTCTTTGTCTGCAAGCTGTGGTGTCCAGTGTCTGCCAGGTGCCACAGCTGATGACAGGAAGATGAAAGGACCTACAGCTCCTACTTTTTTTCCACAACACAGCCTTGCCCTCAGTAGCTCGAGCCTCAGGGCCCCTAGGCAAGGCCTTGGAGACCCTTTTCCTCCCCTGCCCATGGTATACAAGGTGGCACCTTCTAAATTTGTAACACTTCTTAAGCAGGACTGGGCAGTGTCAGATTTCACGTCTACCGTGATGACCCAGCAGAGTGCCTTGCCTAACGTTGGTGTGTATGTTTTTCCAAATATATATAGGGACCCCCAGTATTAGAATGCCAAGTGATACTTGTTTTTAAAGTGCTGATTTCATTTACTCATATACACTATTATATGCATTGATTATCTGAAGAAAGATACTGCAAGAAATTGTTTGCCTCAGGGGAGAGGAACTAAGTGACTGAGGGGCAGGTTTTGGGGTATTACTTCACTTTGTACCCTTTTTGGTCTTTTGGATTTTGACCTATATGAATGTATTACATATTCAAATTTGTTTACCTCAGAAAATAAATTGGTGACAGGTCAAGAAACATGCAGATTCCTGGGTCCACTCTTGATCAAATGAATCAGACTCCCTTGGGGCAGGTTTTTCTGCCTTTTAGGCAAGTTCTCTAAGTGATTCTTAAGCCCAGGGTAAGTTGAGAAACCTCTGTAGTAGGGACTCAATGATTCCTTTAGCTCCACACTTTCCCGAGTAAGCCCTACCCTCCTTGAAACCCTCCACTCAGGAGGGACAAGACAGTTGCGGGACTGTGGGGTGCAGGCTGGGGACCACTCATCCCCACACCTTTATCCATATTCACCAGCCCAGGTCAGAATGAACTGGCCTCCACAGAGTCCCCTTGGTGTGTGTGGGTGTCAGGGGACAGGGGTTCCTCTGGCTGCAGAGCTGGCCCTGTGACAACTGAGGTCTCGTCTTTCAGTCACTCCACACTCTATTGAATCAAAACTCCTTTTTCTAAAGAGGAAGGAAACCAAAGAGATGGGATTTTTCCAGTGTCAGCCACTGTAGCACAGGGCTAAGGCTGCAGCCCTAGCTATGCTTCTGCCACAGTCTCTCAAATCTTGGCCCAATCCCTCTAATGCCAGGAATATTTTCAATTTACAACTGTTACCAGCATACTTCCTCCAGGAAAACTAAAGGCCTCTGATTCAAGCTGTCCAGATGAGAAAATCTGCTTTTTATAGTGAATTAATATCCAGAGATGATCTCTCTTTGTTGATAGAATTTCATTGCAGTAAAGGAGGATTCCTATGAGGACCAGCCCTCTCAGTACACCTAAAATGGGTCTCTGCTGCTTAGAATTCAGTTCATACTCTTTCTCAGGTGCTGCCTTCCCATGGGTGTGTATTCTATCTAGATATGTGCCCAAAGAACAGCATGTAAGCTAAGAAGTCATCCAGTCCCCGTGACCAGAGATCTCCAGGCTGCCCTCTGCTGCTGTGTCAACAGTCTCGGGCTTCCTTCCCTGATAAGTGATTCTACTATGTGATCTTGAGAACATTATTTCACCTGTGTGAACCTCACCTTCCTCTGCTTAACCCCTCCTTTTTGCCAAACTCTAAGCCTCCCACCTAAAATGAGACAGGCTTACTACTCCAGAAGACAGAGTGTGAATATAAAGAAAGAAAGAGTCAAATCCTTGGATCTTGATTTGCAAAATGGACTCAAAACTCAAAGCTTTATAGCATAAGAAGGTTTTTTTGGAATACTGAAAGTTCAAGAGGCTACAGGACTCAAATCTTAAATTTTATACCAGCAACAGTGGATGGGAAGAAGAAGGTATGATGATACCAGAGCCAGTTTTCCAACAGACTGGGGTGGGGAAAAAACTGAGGCAAAGAGACCATTGCAGCTAGCTACTGAAGTGCGTCTCTGAGAAGGGACTGTTTCCCACACACCATCCCCTCTACCCAGGGATAAGGAGAGATTAAGGCCCCAGAAAGGTTTCAGACCTCTGAGAGAATCTGTGCCTTAGTATGTGAGGAATGTCTAGTCTTCCATGATGAGAGAGTATGAGAGCAATCAAGTAGAAATGGCATCTGGGTGTGCCTAGGCAGGTGGGCCTAGAAGCATCTCAGGCTTATGCCTAATATGTGAGAGCCCCAAGGAGCATCAAAATATACCCACCTAGAATCACACGACACTACAAGCCAGACAGAAAGGCAGCCCCACCTACTGCATGCCACAGCTGGGGCTCCTGCACTGGAAAGTAAAGAGTCTTGAACTTCTGGGCACTAGAGGGCACCTCCTTCATAAAGCTATTACTCCACAGGAAGAAACATGGAAACTGACAAATTGAGGAGGCAGAGGAATATGTTCCAAATAAAACTACATCAGAAAAAGGGCTGAAAGAAGGCAAATAGTGAATCTGTGGCATCTTACTACACTGATGAACAGTGACTGCATTATGGGTATGGGTGGTGGGGACTTGATAATATGGGTAAATGTAGTAACCACATTGTTTTTTCATGTGAAACCTTCATAAGAGTGTATATCAGTAGTAATACCTTAATTAAAAAAATGTTTTAAAGGGCTGAATGAAACAGAAATCACCAATCTTCTTGATAAAGATTTCAAAATAAAAATCATAACTATGCTCACAGAGCTTACAGAAAAATATTCAAGATCTCAGGGAGAACTTCAAGAAAGAGAGAGAAACTATGAAAAAATACAGTATCTGAAATGAAACAAACAATGGAGGGATTTAATAGCAGATTATCACAGGTTGAAGAAGTTGTAAATGATATGGAAATTAAGGAATAAGAAAACAAGCTGAAAAACAGAGAGGAAAAAGGATCTCTAGGAATGAAAGAATAATAAGAGAGCTGTGTGACCACTTCAAACAGAACAATATTTACATAATATGGGTATCAGAAGGAGAAGAGGGATAGAAACCATCTTTGAGGAAATGATCGTTGAAAACTTCCCCAGTCTGGGGAAGAAAATAGACACTCACGTCTTGGAAACACAGAGAGCCCCTAATGAAAGGAACCCCAGGAAGACAACAACAAGACAAAAAAGATTAAAGGAAATCCCACCAGTCTGTCAGCAGACTTCTCAGCAGAAACTTTATAGACTACAGCAGAAAAACGGAGTGCCATATTTTGCCAGTGTGTTTCAGCCATGGGCAAGTTCACTCTTGATTTGGTGAGTCCGAAAAATGACAATGGAATGTTCTTGGAGTAAAAGAGTTTATACCCAAATTTATGCCCATGGTGGCAGGTCAAGTACTAGGATCCTCAGAGCAAGTCTGCATGCAGCAAGTAGGCCTCTGCCACTGCACCTCTCTGCCTTCACAGACATCTCAGTCTCTGTCCTGGGCACAAGCAGCCCAGAGCACTGGGTGGAGCTCCTTATATAGAGTCAATAATAATGTGTTGTCCACACACATGTAGTGAGCAAGCAGACCAGGGTCAGGTGAGAATCCTGGCCATAGGAACTTTCATTTTCTCTACAAATGATATATTTAATGTAATGCAACAGAAAGACCTCCAATGAAGAATACTCTACCCAACAAGATTAAAGATTATCATTTAAATCTGAAGCAGGGTTAGAGAATTTTTGGAAAACAGAAGTTGAAGGAATTCACCACCACTAAGCCAGCCCTTCAGAATATGTTCAAGGGACTGCTGTAGATGGAAATGTTCCTAAGGCTAAATAGCTTTCACCAGTGAAAATAAACCCACAGTAAAGGTGGTAGACCAATTCATTACCAAGGAAATATGAAATTAAATCTACTCACAAAATCAGCCAAAGGATACACAAAAAGTGTAGATTAGGACACCTAATATATAAAGTGTGCAGGAAGAAGAAAAGAAAAAAAACCCTTCTAAATCGTGTTTGAAATAGAGTTATCAGCAATTTAAGATACACTTTTATATAGTAAGGAAGATATCCTTAAAACTTTGGTAACCACAAAACTAAAGTCTATAGTAGATACACACAAAAGGAGAGAGGAGGACAGAAAGGGAGGGAGGGAAGGAGAAGATCTAATCACAACACTAATGAAATTCA